TAAGGAGTTGTACACTCAATGATGATATTTTCTCTTGTAACATTGTTATTTCTTCATTTCCTATTGAAAACATACTTCATTACAATTGTACTCTTTATATTGTATGCATACTTGATTTGGCCTGTTCAGTCTGTTCAAACAACAACTTGTCCTTGGCAATCACTTCATCTTTTAACCTTAAAACTAAAAATAACTAATAATAATCACACTATTACCAATAAATTAAATACCATCTGCTTCTAATGACTCATCTTTCCTCTCAGTTAATGGTCCAACTAGTACTACAAAACATTAACACAATATATGATATAAGGTGAACATGCACTAACTTTCATTTTCTAGATAGCTTGCATTTTGTTTCTTCTGTAATTCAGCTTCATTCTCTTTTTCTAAATAGCAATAGATAATAAGTTTCACTGATGCAGTACGAGTATTAAAACAGGTACTAACTCTGCAATGACAATGCTTCTTGCAATGCTGCTATCTCTATTGAATGTACAATGTATGAAACAATAATAATATCAAATACATGTACATTGTACACATATACCTTCTTCCTGTTTAGACATTGTCTTCTCTTTGACTCTCACTATAATAACTGAAATAGTAATACTATTAAAAATAAAATATACCATCTGCTTCTAATGATGATATCTTATCCAAGTCTTTTTTACGTTTACACATTAGGTCTATAAAATACAGACATAAACACAATATAAGACAATAGCTGAACATTACCTTCAATTTCAGCATAGGAATTTTTTAGCTGTGTTCTGAAAGTCTGTAATTTAGTTTCATTCTCATTTTCTAAAAGTAATATATTATAATTAATAAGTTGTACCAACCAAGTACTTACTTTGTAATTGTAGCTCATTAATCTCCTTTTTACTAGCAGCTAATGACCTCTCAAGTTCTGCAAATTATAAATCATGTATATATACACATGTACACAATTTCATACCAGCATAATAGTCCTGTAATCTTTGAATAATTACTTCCAATTCTTCATTTGTGCCTGGTATATTTTGAATATTATAATAATTTTGTTTACATGTATAATATTTCTGGTACCATTATCGCCAGTTTCTTTATTATCTTCCTTGTCATTTAACTCTTTTTGGCCTAATATAATAATAATTTTACATGTATACATACAAATTATGATTAATTACTTTCTAATTCTAAAACTTGTGAATTTGTAGCCACTGATATTAATTCTATTATTTCTTCGTTCCCTCCCTGTATCGCTAACTCCAGTACTTTGTCTCCATTACTATCTTCATAGTACGGATCAGCTCCCAATGACAGCAGCAGTGACACTTCAAATGTTTCATCTAACTTGACTGCTTCAATTAACGACTCATCAAAGTTAACGTTATCTTGTTTGTCAAGAAGAACGTCGTCATTTATTGAAAAGTAAAATACACCAACTCGGCACATTGATTCAGACTTTGACTCAACAGCACTGGTAATGTCAGCAATGGCAGAACGTGGTACCAAGTAAGTGACACATACTGATCCTGGAGTGATTTGAAGATGATTGAATATATCAGTTTGGTTAAAGTCATGTCTCAGCAATGACTCCAAGTCACTTATGGTCATCTCATCCCATCCTCCAGCTAGTTTAATGACAACTATGCAACTGGTATCTGATGGAATGATATTTACTCCGAATGTAATAGCAATAGCACCTTTAAGGTCTTTAAGTCGTTTTGAATACAGAAAATTGTTCAGCTTTTTAGCATATGCTTCCATTTCTCTTCGTAGGGCAGTACCAGAGTGATGCATTAGCCATCCAGTAATATACTCCTTACATGATAATTTCTTTAAATACTTATCAACGATAACTTTTATCAATGAGAAATTAAGGTAATTATATCGATCTTGAATTTGATTAAATAAGCTTTCAATAGTTTTAAGGTCATCAAGCTTCATATCTTTTACACCATTTTTCTTGATGAATTCGGCAACATCACTGGTTTCCAACGCTCTGTACTTAACTTTCTCTTCTAGATGTTTACAAATCTTGTCAATGAGATCTAAAAAACTATTTCTTAATTCGCTAAGTTCATTGTGAACATCAGACTCAATGGGAGGTGCATATATAACTCTGGATACATTACTTCTTTTTCTCAATCCAGATGACCCTGCAAGTGTAATTGAATAAATTACAAATCTAGCTGTCCGTTATACCTTCTGCTTCAATGTTTTCTATTTTGTAAGCTACGGCCCCAAACCCCACCTTTTTTACAGCAGCAGCCAATTTCTCCATTGAAGGTTTACCATACTTATCGAAATTATAGTTCCACCTCAACCAGTGAGTCAGACAGGCTCTTAGACATGCTTTGGCATTCAAAGGATTATTGGCATTAACTGTTCCAAGATCTGACTCACTGATGTGTAGCTTACCACCTAGCTCCATCCATTTGTGATCAGAGAATCCATTCCTTTCCAATTCACTAATAACATAATCTAGATTGTTAATACCTGTTAATAGAATTAATAACACACACACAATAAGTAATAGACTAATAAGTAACAAGAATACAAACCTAAGGTCTTGTTTAGTTGATGATTGATTTCTCCTCCAGTAGCCATACCACCTTTCACACCCCTGAATGCAAAGATTTAGATAGCACAATCCACAATGAATACCATCATATTTAAGGTCATAATGAATAAAATTATTAATAATCAAAAACAACAGGCAAAAGTATACTGAGAGAAGATATACACACTATTCTTTTATTTATAATAAATATATATATACATGTACAGTATATGTATAGCAATGTTAATGATACTGTATGGAGTAAGGATGCTTCTCCATTGATGAAACATGACGTAACATATCCTTCTTTGCAACTATACCTAACAGACGACTAGAAATATAAAATAAATAATATTAAAAATTAAAACTAGTACTAATAGTGCATGCATACATTTACATGCATACATTAAAGCTACATGACAATGTACATGTACATACATGCATAAATGTATTTGTTTGCTGCTTTTGCTTGCCATTGATACAAAAGCTTGTCACTGTCATAGACTCACAGTCCCATTTTTCCAAATGATGATTATTTACACACATGCATATTATGATTATATTATGATTTCATAAATTTTATTTTGTAACTACATTTTAAAATTTTAAAACAATAAACCCATTAATAGCTACAATATTATCAGCATTATAATTATCAGCATTAAAATAATTATGATTAAAAGAATTACACTTAATCTAGTTGTAATAGCAATTAGCAGGACTGCCTCTTGCTTAGGAACAGGAGTGACTTGTCTTGTTGCACTGACAGGATCAGAGAGAGACTGAACTAAACTACTACCATTAGTATTCAAATGAGTTCTGTATGTAACACACAGAGTCAATATTAATACAATTAGGAATTGATTTTTAATAAAAATACTAATAAAAATGGAGAAATCTCTCCTTTTCATTTTTGGCAAAATTTGGTCTGCGGCTCTGCACTAGACTATATAGTACAGGGCCTTTGGACCAATTTTTGAGTAACTTTTAAAATTTATAAAAAATCCAATTTTAATTAAAATCAGTTCAAACTTTCTACACAACATATGCATCAGGAAATGTAATAAGGACTTCTTTTTTGATGAAATATAATGTATATATTTTTTATTAGATAGAGTGATACATCATGCTGATCTTGATGGAGCTCCATTACTGATACTAGCCAACAAGCAAGATAGAGAGGTCAGTTAAATTATTATTATTATTATTATTATTATTATTATTATTATTATTATTATCTTATAAAACAGGATGCTCTGAAATTGACAGAAGTGGAGAGTGCTTTTGATACAAGTGTTGAATCAATAGGTAACAGAGACTGTCGTATACAGAGGGTCTCTGCTCTAAGAGGGTACGTTATTAGTAGGTGTGGCTTACATATTGACTCCGCCCCTTTAGTGAAGGCGTGTTTGAAGGGATCGAATGGTTAGCTCAGAGAGTAAAGGAAAAACCAAATAGACCTTTGAAACCAGTCAAGTCGTAATACTTATTTTAATGTCATTTTCTCTCATGTTCTTAATTTCATTATAACATGTAAAATTTGAATTGCTCACGAACGCAATTTTATTTGCTATTTTTGCATCACTAGCAAACCAATCATTGGCTGACCTCATTAATTTGTTGTTATTGGAAAGTTAGCTCTTATAACTTTTATAAAAGTTATTACAGACAGTTTATTTATTATTTATTCTTGGTAGTGTTGTTTATATTGTTAGCATTTTTATTTACTTTATTGTTATTGTTATTCCTATTTTACGACATACACATCTTAATAATAAAATGATAATAATAATAGGATTAATAAAAATTAAAAAAAATTATACAACTATTAATAAGGTAGCATTATTTATAATTTCTGTGTGCATTTATAAATGATATATTTAATATATAATTTCATTATTATTCAAACAACAGTGCTATGGCTAATAATGGCACTGGTTAATCCACTCATACCGTTGGATCAGTTGTGTACCGTTACCTCACTTGCGTATCCTTCAATTGTCTTATCAATGAAGACCAAGGTATTAGTGTTGTTCTAGTTCTTTTATACTAGAACTAAATAATTATTGTTCTGCTTAGTTCTAGTTCTAAAAACTAGAACTAGAACTAGAACTAAATTTTTTGTAGCTGAAATACTAGAACTAATACTAGAACTAAAATTATTTATTTGAAGTACTAGAATCCTGAAATATTAGAACTAATACTGGAACTACAATTATTGAACCTCCTTAGAACTAGAACTAATACTAGAATTGAAAATATTGGTTACAAACTACTACAATAAACAGGTGAACATGTTTTTAGGCAAAGCCTAGCTGTTACATTTTTTAATAAACTGTACCTGTGACATTTCGATCGTTTTATTGGCAGCAGTAAAACTTATTATTTTGTGTATATTGCATTTGATGTACATTTGAAACATAACTCAGCAATATAACAAAAAAGATTTTAGTTAAGAGCTACTACTAGTATTTAAATTACTCCAATTTTAGCATGACTTAACTGGAAAGTAAGTATTGGAGGCTATAGTTCTAAGCTAATACTAGAACAAAAATTACTATGATTTT